GAGGAGACTTGTCAGGAATATAGAATTGCATGGGGTGCAGTTTGATGAAAAGACTCAGGCCCAGATCAGAGATTCTACACAATCCAGGTGCAACAGGTCCCTGGAGAGCCGGAAGTACTTATAAAGACAAACATTAAAACCTGAGCTTCACAAAAAGCCTTTCCAAGGGAATCAGCAGCAAAGCAGCAATTTAGCTAAACCACAGAGCTCAAATACTGATCCTCACAGGAAGTTCCCCCATTTTAGAAGTAAGTAAAGGACAAAATATTAGTTCTGGCCCAGGCACACTGCCAGGGCCTCAGTGCCCGACCAGGGACCTGAGGCTTGGAGCCAGGGACTGGACCCCCTCCCATAACCAGGCATGTCACCAGCTCCAAGGAGCATGCCAAAAACATCACCTCCATGTGGGTGGCCCACCACAGCCACCACAATAACCACAGCTGCTGCGAAAGCAGCTAGATGCCACAACCACCATGCAGATGGTTTGCCAGCCACTGGAGTGCATTGACACAAGGAGAGTCACCAGCAGAGACAAAGAAAGGAAGAGGATGTCTCTTTCCACAAAGCCCATTCCAGAGTGACAGAAGATGTATCTGCTCTATGATAATATCGGGGGACCTGAACACACCTCTCAGCATTGGACAGATCATCTAGGCAACAAATCAACAGAGTAACCATTACTCTTTCAGAGGGAGAGAAGAAATCTAGGGTAATTAGAGGGGGGAGGGAGAGGTGAATGGGGAGAGATTGGACAAGGGGTGTAAAGAATAAGTATGATTTGCAGCAATATATATGCTAGTAATATTGATTTGATCAACATATGTCAATGTTGAACTCCCAAAATATGTATAATCAATTATGATTCAATAAAATTTTTAAAAAAGGATATAAGTAAAGAATATAAAGAATATTGGCAGAGAATATGAAGACTACATATTTCCCCTGTCCCTTAAATAAACTATAATTAATTAAATAATTTCTACTTTTGTCATCAGGTAAAAAGAAATTTTTTTTGAGAGAGAGAGAAATCTAGTTTTGAGAATGTGTAGTATCAATGGATGAAACAAAATCCTTGCCCAAATTAAGGGAGTAGAAACTACTTAGAAACTAGGACAAAATCAGAGATGCAAAAACTTGGTTGCATTATTATTTATAATAATGAAAAATTGGAAATAAAATATCCAATGGTTAAGTGAATTTTAGCACACACAAATGATAGCATATTAGAAAGTCATAAAATTTTGAAGAATAATACATTACATGAAGCTCAAATATAAAGAGTAAAAAATATGGAAATAAAATTTTATCCAATATAATATCTTTTTGTAAACAAAAAATTATTAAACACGTGTGTGTTCACAAACGTGCATAGGCAAGGTGATTAGGTGACAACTATTTGGTTAACCACTGGCTTCTTCATGAGGCAGTAGGTCCAAGTGGGCAGGGACTATGTCTGTCTTGGTCACCTCTTGATTAGCACATTGCCCGGTAAATAGTAGTTTGTTCGGTTAATAGTTGCCAAATAAATGAATGGCATATTTCCATCTCCATTAAACTGTGTGAGGAGGAGGAGCATCTGGCTTGGAGGAGGAGGAGCTCTGGATACTCATCCCTCCCCCATTTCGGTAGCTTAGCAGGAAGTTAGTTCAGCAGCTCAATGGAGGTGCAGGCTGACAACAGTGGCCGAGTCCCACTGGAGGCTCCCCTGTTTGACAAGTTTACTTCCTCATCTTAGATGCTCCCACTCTCACTTCCAGTTCCTACAAATATGTTGAGTGTTTGCTGGGGGGAAGAGTTCCTCTCTACTGTAAAGCTTGCCACAGTGTGTCCAGTCTAATGATGCTCAATCTGAGCCCCACTTCTAATGTGGGACAAGGAGAGCACAGGGGATCATTGTGCTCTGCTACTTTTCAGCTTGTTTCTCCACTGAGCCACGTGGTTCTACTGGTTCTCTGCATGTGCGCACGCGCACGCACACACACACACACACACACACACACACACACACACACTTTGTTCAAAAGGGGGAAACAGGATGCATTCTGTCGTGTATATCTTGAGGTTCCTGTGGGATGTTCAGGTAGAAATTTTCAACACACAGTTAGGTATTAGGATCAACAGTTTAGCATCTGGGATAGATATAAAAATTGAGGAACATCAGCATGCATTGCTTTCAGATTGATATTGGGCTATAGAGGAAGGGCACCTAGCCCAGCCGCAGAGCTCATGGTCAGTTTTCTGGAAGACAGAAGACCTGCAATGGGTCTTCAAGGACAATTTCCTGGATTAACAGTGTGTGAGAAAAGGAGACTCTGCAGGAAGAGAACACAGTCTTGGTCATGTTGGGAGGGTGCACATAATGGATGCTATTTGGGCTCTGTAACCCAGAGGTGCCCTTCCAAGGACAGCTGTCCACAGAAATCCAGTCTCATCCTAATTCATTGCTGACTTGTCCTTGTCCCATGACAGCCTTAAGCTTCTATGAGTCTCTTCAATTTATCCTGCAGGGAACTTCTCCCAAACCCACTAGTGAGAGCCAGCAGGAAAGTTTTATTCATGAACAAGGAATTGTTAAAATTGTATCTGATGCCTAACGCCACCTTCAACATTAATAAATGTACAGTGGTCCTGGTCTAGAAGATAACTCTAGGCTTTTGTCTTCCTTTATGGTGTTGGAGACATGAGGCTGGAAAATATTTAGAGTCAGGGTACTACAGGCTCTGGATTACACTATGGCAGCACAGAAAAGCGCGAGGCATTTGTTTGAGACTAGAGGAGAAGTTGGGTTTGAGGAGGGTTAAAGTGAGCTGTGATGTGAGGTGACTTTGTGAAATGATGGAGAGGACATGGCTCCAAGGATGGAATAAGAGCAAACCCAGCCCCAGGCTGCACCCTCCTCCCAGCCCCACAATGCCCACAAGGCTGGGAAGTCACATTCACTACTCTTCGCTCTCCCTTCCTCTCCTAAGACAATGTGCTGTAATAAACCAAAACCCCCAAATCTCAACTCCATCTCCAACACTGTGTTGCTTACTGGACTTTGAGACTTTCTGAGATTCATTTTAACTTTGTTAAATGCTGATAAGAACACTGGTTCATAGTAAGTGCTCAAAAACATTTTTGTTAAATAAATGAATGAATTTTGCCATACCTATAAAAGTCATGACTGGAAACATTTTGAGAAAGTGCAAAACATCTTGAAGGTACTAGAGATCATTAGGTCTTTGGCAAAGGCAGGTGTTTACCTGGCTCCCTCTGGAAGGTACTAATTTCTGAGGCCTCCAGGGGTAACAACAGGGAGGAAAATATCCCAATGTGAAAGTGACATCAGTCAAGTTGTTTGTCTCTTTGTCTGTCTGTCCTTTATAAGCCATCCCCTCTGTGGGGGCCACTGGGCAGTATGACTGTCCCTCAACTTTGCTCAAGAAGTGCCCGTCCCCTTAGGTGAGTGCCATTCCAAGACCCCCTCACCACACTCACAACTCGGTTTCCCTACAAGTGCAGTTCACTCTCTGGACCCTGGAACGGCTTCTCCCTCCCCCTCAAAAGATGCAGTGGGACTTGGGTGCTTGAAGCTGAGAGGTTAGAGAGAGGAAAGACTCAGTGATGACTACAGTTACTGGGGGGATGGCCAGGCTGTTCCCAAAACAGTTTAATCAAGAGTGGACTGAGATTGAAGAAGGGAAATTCAGATTTGCAGAGATTGAATTTAAGATAACCGTAAGAACATGTTTATGCAGAAAAGGCTATATCATTAGATGGTAGTTGTCCCACTGTGGACCTGAAGGCATTATTCTCAAGTTTTAATTATCAAGAAATGTCTTCCTTTGCTCTGCCCTTTTCCCCTTAAGGCTCTCCAAATCCAGCTTTTTCCTATATGGGGAAGACTGCATGTGAGTGACTTAAACATTTGTCCCTCAGCCAGAGAGATTGAGGTGGATCACTGTCAATTGTGAGTGTGACCACTTCAGGGCCAGGGAAAGGAAAGCATTATCTAAGGGATCGTGTACGTGGGCAGTCCACAGTACTGTAACAGAATTTGGCTATATCTGGTCATCAGGCCCACGAGAGTATACATATGAGATGATGTGTAATTAGAGCCAGGAGACAGAAAAGCGAAAAGCTACGTGAAGGTGGAATTGGAGGCAGAGGGGAATTCAGGGCTTGGGTAGTTGCTTAGCCAAGACTCTAGCCATGAGAAAGGTCAACTGCATATCCAGCGAGGTAGCTCTACTGGGAATCCCGTGAACCCACCTGCTGGCTCAAGCCTTGAAACTCTCATTCTGTTCAAAAGGTCTTTTTACATTCTTCTTATTCAGTAAAAGATCAGTACTTTGGAGCCCCAATTTCCCAGACTCACTATGGAGAAATACAATACAATTTACTATTTAGAAAATCTAAAAGGCTGGAAATCACCAGATATGGAGCCGGAGATGTCTTCAGTGATGGCTCCTCATTTATTTCACTATTTTTCATTTCATTTCACTTTATTTATGAAAAGTCCAGACCAGATCTCATGGCTTCACAAGCCAATTTTTCATAGCCTGGGTCATGGCAGGCATCTCACTACTGCCGTCACTTATGATGACATGTTTATGCGAAGGTTGCAGGGACACAGATTGGGAGGAGCACGCCTCCCCCCTTCCCCTGAAACTTCCCTTTCATCCTCTGGGATCTTGTGTGCCCAAACTACGGCCATGCCACCATCTGCAAACTTGTGGTTTCCTTCCTAGAACCTTAGCCTCGGGAAAACAATCTTTCCCTTTAACTTTCAAATGTTACACTTGTTCCCCTTTCTATTTCAATTCATCTATCTCTATTTGAGTCTGTCTAAATCTTAAACTTTCTTCTCCTTATATTTTATGTGTCCTTACATCCTGGGCTGCTCCTGGACATTGCTATCAATGTCCCATTGGTGGTGGTTATAAAGATCTTATTGTCTTTTTACCCCTAGTGGCACCTTCTCACTTTGCTCAGTCTGCTGCTGGTGGAAGAGAGTCATGGATCTGGAAGCCTCAGGAAATAATTCAGTGGTGACTAAGTTTATCCTGCTGGGCCTAACAGAGACTCCAGCTCTGCAGCCCATCCTCTTTGTCATCTTCCTTCTTGCTTACGTGGCTACTGTTGGTGGCAACTTCAGCATCCTGGCTGCCATCTTGATGGAGCCCAAACTCCACACCCCCATGTACTTCTTCCTGGGGAACTTGTCCCTGCTGGATGTTGGCTGCATCAGTGTCACTGTCCCAGCCATGTTGAGGCATTTCATATCCAATGACAGAAGCATTCCCTACAGGGCCTGCCTCTCACAGCTCTTCTTCTTCCACCTCCTGGCTGGGACGGACTGCTTCCTGCTGACTGTCATGGCCTATGACCGCTATCTGGCCATCTGCCAGCCCCTCACCTACAGTACCCGCATGGGCTGGGGAAACCAGCAAGCTCTGGTGGGCATGTCTTGTGTCTTTTCTTTCTCCAATGCATTGACCCAAACAGTTGCCTTGTCTGCTCTTAAATTCTGTGGCCCTAATGTGATCAATCACTTCTACTGTGACCTCCCACAGCTCTTCCAGCTCTCCTGCTCCAGCACCCAACTCAACGAGCTGCTGCTCTTTGTAGCAGCAGCCTTCATGGGTGTGGCCCCCTTGGTCCTCATCACTGTGTCCTATGCCCATGTGGTAGCTGCTGTGCTACGAATCCGCTCTGCTGAGGGCAGGAAGAAAGCCTTCTCCACATGTGGCTCCCACCTCACTGTGGTGGGCATCTTCTATGGGACAGGCGTCTTCAGCTACATGAGGCTGGGTTCAGTGGAGGCTTCAGACAAGGACAAGGGGATTGGCATCCTCAACACTGTCATCAGTCCCATGCTAAATCCACTCATCTACAGCCTGAAAAACCCTGATGTGCAGGGTGCCCTGCAGAGGGTGATCATGGGAAGGAGACCCCCCTAGCAAGACTCCCTTCCTCTGCCCTTCATGAATGTGATAGCTCCACTTGCTGCTTCTAAGAGGTATTATGATTAATGCAATTGGAGTGTGGGTATGATAAGATGGGGTCAGAGACTGGCTTAGGAAGGAAAGTGCAATAGAAATGATAATAGCTATCGCTTATATCATGATCGCCACATGCCAGGCACTGTTCTAAGTGACTAGCATCTCTTAGCTCATTGAATCCTCATAACCTTATGAAGTAGACAAGACTTACAAATTATGGATTAAGAAACTGAATGTCAGAGATGTTGAGTAACTTTCCCAAAGTCACAGAGCTAATAAATGTCACAACTGGGATTTGGACCTAGGCAAACTACATCTGTAACTATTGCCTCTCAAAAGTAATAAACCGTTTCAAGGAGGAAGAGTATCTATACAGTGGAGAGGAGGGATGGGCAACAAAGAATTAAAAAAGAAAAGAAATATCAGCATGATGGGAAAAAACTATTTAAATAAATTGAAAATATGAATTAAGAAATTTCTGTTCCTTTAATAAATTCACGGTTTGTTCCAGAGCATCTGGTGCAGGTTGAGGATATTGCTGAATGCCAATTTCAACAAATAAACCAACCAAAGAAAACAGATTTTAAAATCCAATTCTGAGGGAGTAGACACTGTTTAGAAAAACCGTAGAGGTGAGGTAAAGTATTTTCATATTGAACCAAGAACAACAAAAAATATATATGATGAAGTTACTTAGAGAAAGAGGTTTGGCTCATGTGGAAAAGTCTTCCTGACTGAACGGACACCTTTGCCACCTCTGACTTAAACCCGAAACCAGCCTTCTCCGTCTGTATTGCTGTAAGGAGCAAGACACTTCACCTACCCAGTTTACAGCTTTCAACAGCGTTTGCCATAATGCAATAAAAATGCATGCTTATTAAAAAAGTTAGAAAGTACAAAAATAACAAAAAATGAAAATCACCCATAACTTCATCATTCAGAGATAATCATGGACATTTAGCATATAAGTTTTAATTTTTTTATTCATAATGTATGCTTACAAAAATAGAAGTATTCTATACCTAAATCTCTGTAATCTGCTTTTTTCACTTAATAATATGCGTGGATATCTTTCTATGACACTAAATACCGATCTTCCTCATCTTTTTCTATGGTTGCCTAGTATTTCTTTGAATAAATGCAGTGAAATGAATTTAGTAACCCATTAGTGAACCCGTGTTGGCTCAAATAATCCAGGTTGCATGGGATGCTGCCACACACATTCTTTTGCACTCATCTGTGCACACTCTCCTAATTCTGGAGGTAAGTCCCCTTGAGTGGAGCGCCTCGGGCAAAGATATGAACTTTTCCAAGGCTCTAGAAAACATATCGCCAAATTGCCACTCAGAAAAGGTAGAACAAATCAATGCTTCCATATTGCCAATTACTTTTATCTTTGCTAATAGGCCAAATTTATAACTCAGTGCTCTTTAATTTGAATTTACTTACTAGTACAGTTAAACATAAATATATATATATATAACAGTTATATATATATTTAAATAATTTATAAATAATTATATATCACATAAATATATATGTTATAATATATATATAACAGTTGTGCGTATATATATATACAGTTAAATAATATATATTTAACAGGAAAAATATTTTTATATAAATATGTGTAACACATATATTTCTAAGATGTTTCTCTTCTTAGAAATTTTGAATTGCTCTTATTAATGGAATTAATTCCTTGTTTCATGGATATTTCAAATATGATATGTCTTTGCCAAAGAAAACTTCTAAATTTATACATGGTCAAATTAGTCAATCTTTTCTCCTATAAGATTTTGGTATCTGGTTTGGTGTTATGCCTAGAAAGAAACTTTTTAAACTTTTGAATGGACAGATTCATTGATTCTTTTCCACTGATATGAAATGACATCTTTGCCACATGCTAAATATCCTGATAGTCTTGGGTCTGTACTTGGGCTCCCTTTTCCAGAACTACACTTTTTAATCCCTATCGTATTACAATACAAACTAACATGTGGTTGTTAAGGTCTTTTCCTCCTTTCTTTCCTTCATTTTTTCCTTCATCCCTCCCTCCTAACCTCCCTCCTTCTTTCTTTCCTTATCCATTTTTAAAATTCTGCAAATATGGAATAGTGTCAATGCATAAATTTAGGAGAAACTCACACCTTTGAATTATTGATCTTCCCATTACAAGAAACTCACTCAAGTCTTCTCTTACAGTATAAGAGATTTTTTTAAAATTAAGAACTTGTGAAACAGAAAATTGAATTTCCCTGACAGGAGGCACATAGAAGTTATCCAGAGTGATTCAAGGGGCTGGAAGGCAAGGCTCTGAGCCAAGCGTCGTGAGTATCTGCTTGTTCTGCAGGAGCTGGCTGCTGAGAACCTCTGAAGCTACCACACACCACCTGAAACTCTGGAGAAAGATTCCATGTGATTTACTGTTCTGATCATTAGAAACATTTGAAGTTAGAAAAGTAATGGAAATAAGCCATTGTTGTGTGTTTTACAGAGTCTACCAGCTAACAGACTCCTGGCTATATCCAGAGCACAAAGGTGTCATTTACAATACTTCAGAGTAAAACTTATCAGATTTCCCATGGTTTCCAACTCTTCTTGTAAATGAAATCTGTCAATGATGGTCCCACAATCTTATTTGTCAGCAGTCATCTAGGGCTAAGTTTCCATGGCCTTCTTTGGAGAGGGCAAGCACTCTTTGCTAAAACCTTCCAACTGACCACATTATCTGCCCTGTCCTTGAAGACATTTGACTTTGTCATCCCTGATTTAGACACTTGATTTTGGGATGTTCAGCACTACTGATAAAGGTTGTATCTGTAATACATATTTTTTTCCTAGAATTTTCTGGTTCCATGTGAGTCCTAAATTTATAGTACAGGTAACTTTTACTAGCACATAAAAGGTACTCAAATAATACTAATGAGATGAATCATTGTCTGATTTTATGGAAGATAGTCTCCATATTTAGGCATTATCTAGGGAGAGAAAAGAGGCAGAGACTTGTCATTAAGTTGGACCTGATACTAAAGTGGCCTGACATATTTCTCTAAAAGCATAACTCTATTAAATTACTAATTGATTCCAAAAGCATTCATTGAGCACCTAAAATGTAGTGGAAATAATACTAAGTATTGAATTCAGAAAAGAGTCACAAGCTCTACCTTCAAGATGATGCCTTGGTATTAGAGGGAGCCAAACAGGCCAATTTACAGAAACACAAAGGGTTATAGGTGCTATGTGTCAGGTGGCTTACACGCTCTTTGAAAGTAAAGCGAGAAGCCTTTTCTGGCAGCGTATGAAGGTATTAAGAGAAGGCATCCTGGAAGAGATGGAGATTGAGCCATGCGTTAAAAGGCAGTGGGTATTTGCCAAGTGGACTAGGGAGGAGGTCATTCCAGGAAGAGTGTGACCTCTTCCAGGGCCCTTTGAGAGCAGAGGTGGGAGTAGGAGATTGTTGCAGCAGGGAAAATGGGAAGTCAGGGACAAAGAACGCAGATGAAGACAGCTCTTTCGAGAAGTTCAGCTGTGATTGGATGAAGGGTAGTACCGAGGTAGTCAACAGAGGAGCAGCATATTAAAGGGGAGTTGGATTTTGTTTAGTTTTGTTTGAAGATGAGAGAAACTGCATGTGTATATGATGATAGGGAAACACCAACAAAAAGGACCACAGTTAAGATGCCCAGGAAAGAGGAGGTCATTGATGGAGTGAGATAGAAAGAGATGTGAGAAAATGAAACAGTCATAACAGAAATGCTTGATTTTCTGTATATTAACATATTTATTGATTGGGAGAAAGAACTCACTAAAGTATTTATTGAAGGAAATATGGTAGAATATAATAACTGGACTCTAGGTAATTGTTATCTCTAATTTACTTTGCTAACAAATGATTTTGTTAATAATTGATTCATTCAATTGTTAACAATGTCTACTCATTACAACTGCCCTCGAGGAACTCATAATACACAGAAGATTATAATAAAACACATTAGTTACAATGATAGAGTTCGTATAGCTTGTTATAAAGCCCAGAGACCTAATAATCTCTCATCCACAGAACTTTCAAGCATTGAAAACCAGGAGTGCCTTGCAATATTCATGTAAAGTTTAAATTTTAAACTATAGATATGTAACTTCTTTTTACTTATTCATTCACCCAGTAAATCCTTATTGAAATCCTATTAAACGTTCAGCACTATGCTTGACACGTGGGTACAGAGAATAAAACTCAGTCGCTACCTTCAAAGAATTCAGTCTGTTGTGGCAAAGTGCTGTACCAATGTTGGTTATTAATACATAATCATTATCATCGTGTAGTTTCATCTGAAATATCTCTTAGAATTACTGTCAGAGGCATAAATTTCTCTCTTAGAGGCTTGCATGAAAACTCTAAAAACAATGTGAAGTTAAGCATATACAAATATAGTGTAGACAGAAATATATATACAGTATTTAAATATAGTAATAATAATTAGTATATAGTTGTATTAAATATAGTAATAATTTAGTAATATAGTAATAATTATAATTAAATATAGCAGTAATAATTTCTTACATGCTAGTACTACTTCCTTACTCACAAACACATTAGCATCTTATTTGATTTTCAAGATGGCCATGTCTGACCTACAGTGTAGGCACCATTATTACTCTTTATTTTACAGATGAAAAACCTGAAGTGCAGGACACACATGCTTGCTCAAGGTTACAGAGTTTTGAAATAAATCATAGAATGTAACATGTTGAAATCTGGAAGATGGCTCCAAGGATGGGTAGAATATTTTAAACAATTTTGAATAAAGTTGCATGGAGTCATTACAACTGTTTGTAATAGAGTCTACTAGAAAAATATTATCATGTTCTTCTTTAATAAAATAAGCAGCATCTATATGAAACCTAGAACAAAACAATACACTTAATGGCAAAACTCTAGAAGGGTCTCCTATAAACTC